TATGATCGCTTAGGTGTATCATGATAATGTTGATTTGGAGACGCTGTAAGTTGTTGGAACGAGTTGTTATTTTAGTAGTTAATATTATATTGTGTATCATTATCATTTGGTGATGAATTTTGAGATGATCGATTCATATTTTGTGAAATATTGCTTTCAAGTGTTGGGTTGATTGGTAATGAAGCTAAAAAATGATTTTTTCTTGGTACAATAATAATATCTTGTTGTTCATCTAATGTTTGAAGTTCTTCGATCTTTTGAGCATATTGTAAAAATTCTTCCGTATTTACTGGATTTTTTAATAATACATTGAAACGTAAGGAAGGTTTTAAACCATCTTTCAAATATTGTAGTTTACTAGCATCATCCATAAATGGATTAGCTTCTTTACATAATTTCATAATTTGAAAATAATATTGTTTCACATCTTGAGTAATACCTTGTTCATAATGACGTAAACGATTAAATGCGATCACAGCTTTTCCTGAGGATCCAAATGTTTTTAATAATTTTTGTGTAAAGATTGTCCATGTTAACATTAAATGTTTATTATCATAAAACCAGTCTTCTGCATAATCTTCTAGACATAACAGTACATAAAATAATTTTTCATCATCTGTTAACTTAAATATATTCATTGTTTGTTGAATTTCTTGCAACAAATTAGATACATTTTGTTTCGATTTACCAGAAAATTTTGGTATTTTTTCAAGAGAAGTGATTAACATTTGAGTTCGTAAACAGTCCATAAAAGCATCTTGATAATTTGCATTTCCTGATTGCTTCGATGGTGTGCCTGGTGAAATAATTTTTGTTGATAAGTCTGTCTTTAACTCTTGATTATCAAAATGTTGTAAAAATTTTTTCATAAATGTAATAAAGGTTGGCATATGATCTTGCTGTTTACCATACCAAATAAGTGCTTCACCAGTCAATGTATCCGGAATTAATTTATATTGTTCACGACGTTTAAGTTGTAAGGAATCAAATTTTTCCATAAAATGTTTTAACCAAAATTCTGGGTCACCACTTCCATCAAATTTTTGTATTGAATTTAATGCGAAATCAATTGAAGATTGTTGTTTTTGTTCATTTTGATCTAATCGCTGATCATGTAAATCATGACCGAGTGCAAATGTTGTCGGTTCCGTAAATGTTTTATCATTTTTGTTTACATCGATTGTTGTGTGTGTAGAAGCAATATTAACTTGTTCAGAATTAGACATTATTAATAATTGATGTTTTTCTTTTTAAAGTGGTAAAAGTAAAGAATCAATAGTTGTTTGCGTAAAATCAGTTGTAAATCGAGTTGATTTAATATTCATGAACGTTGTCACTGGCCTGATATTTGCTTTGCCTGCCACGCGGAATTTTTTTACTTGTTTTAAAGAAATATCGGCTAGTGTACCATTGTTACGTTCCATTCTTTCTTTATTTAAAATAAGGTATAAGAACCTAAAACATATATAACATAAACATCTCTCACACTTGTAAACACAACAACTAACTTAAAATGAATAGAGAGAGAGAGAAAAGAAAGAGAAAAAAGAAGAAGAAGGAGGAGAATCGTCCATCTATATAAGATGTATAGATGGCAGATCCTAACAGTTTCCAAGGCAGCTAAATCTTTTTTCGAAAAAGACTTCAACAAAACTTTTACTAAATTGTTACTATCGGAATTTTAAAAGAAGGCAGGTGGAGAAAAAGCTTGTAACTCTCTAACGAAAAGTCACAGCGATCTGCGGTTTTCAGCAATCGATAGAAGATTATAGGGGACATATATTTATATAAAAACCAAGGTTTAAATAATTGGCGACTGTGGAATCGCTGAAAGAGTAGTCTCGTTATTTGGTAAAATATCAGCAGAACAAGCTGAAAATTTCAGCATATATAGCCCCACTGTAGTCCAATCTTTCCTAAAAATATCATCGATAAATCTTGTAATGACGAGGAATAGCGAGCTAATCATCATCTGGTTT